TTTTTTTTTTTTTTTGAGACGGAGTCTCGCTCTGTCACCAGGCTGGAGTGCAGTGGTGGTGTAATCTTGTCTCACTGCAACCTCTGACTCCTGGGTTTGAGCAGTTCTTTTGTCTCAGCCTCCCAAGTAGCTGGAATTACAGGCAGCTAATTTTTGTACTTTTAATAGAAATGAGATCTCACCATCTGGGCCAGGCTGGTCTTAAACTCTTGACTTCGTGATCCATCCACCTCAGCCTCCCAAAGTGCTGGGATTACAGGTGTGAGCCACTGCGCCCGGCCTAAATTAATTTTTTTTAAGTGAAAGCAAGTTTATTAGGAGAGTAAAGGAATAAAAAATGGCTACACCATAGGCAGAGCAGCCCTAAATTAATTCTTACCACATTCTCTTGTACTTTTCTCTTCCTACTCAGAGCATCTTGGAGTCAGACTGTAGTATTATCTTTTGTATTCCCAGTGCTCAGCACGTAAATACATACCTAATAAATGGTTTTTGTGTGTAGATAAAGATGGAAAAGCCAGCGAAAAGTAAAAAATGATTTTAGTGAAGGTAAAGAAATTGTATTTTCTGTTATTAACATAATGAGTGTATTTAAAATATTTAAAACATTGTATTGTCAGAAGACTTGAAGAGACGTTTCACGAAAGAGGCTATATCCAAGTGGCCAGTAGTAAGCATATGAAATAATTTTTAAATTGTTTCTTTTTTTTTTTTTGAGTCGGAGTTTCGCTCTTGTTACCCAGGCTGGAGTGCAATGGCGCGATCTCGGTTCACCGCAACCTCCGCCTCCTGGGTTCAGGCAATTCTCCTACCTCAGCCTCCTAAGTAGCTGGGATTACAGGCACGCGCCACCATGCCCAGCTGATTTTTTGTATTTTTTAGTAGAGACGGGGTTTCACCGTTTTGACCATGATGGTCTCGATCTCTTGACCTCGCGATCCACCCGCCTCGGCCTCCCAAAGTGCTGGGATTACAGGCTTGAGCCACTGCGCCTGGCTTAAATTGTTTCTTATCAGGAAAATGTACATTAAAACCATGCTGGGATACCACTGTCTCTTCCTCTAAATGGTTAACATTTATTGGACTGACAATATCAAGAGATGATAAGGATTTGGAGAAACTGGAACCCCTATGACACTGGTGATAGTGAGAATATAAATTTGTACAGCTGCTATGGAAAACTGTTTGGTATCATCTACTAAGCTAAATATGCATATAACTCCATAACCCAGCCATTTCATCCTAGGAATATACCCAACAGAAATGAGTGCTTATTGGCCACCAAAAACCAATAAGAATAATAGCTTTATTCTTTTTTCTTTCTTTTTTTAATTAGAAAAAAATTATCAAGCCCAAAATGTGGGGTTTTTTTTGAGACAGGGTCTTACTCTGTCACCTGGGCTGAAATGCAGTGGCACCATCATGGCTCACTGCAGCCTCAACCTCCCTACTCAGGCAATCCTCCCACTTCAGCCTCCCGAGTAGCTGGAACTGCAGGTGTGCACCACCATGCCTGGCTAATAATTTTTGTATTTTTTTTTTTTTTTTTGTAGAGATGGGGTTTCACCATGTTGCCTAGGCTGGTCTTAAACTCCTGGCTCCAGAGATTCTTCTGCCTTGGCCTCTCAAAGTGTTGAGATTACAGTCGTGGCCAACTTTACTCTTTTTTTCTTTTTTTAATTTTTTTGAGACAGAGTTTTGCATCGCTCTTGTTGCCCAGGCTGGAGTGCAATAGTGCAATCTTGGCTCACCGCAACCTCCACCTCCCAGGTTCAAGAGATTCTCCTGCCTTAGCCTCCCAAGTAGCTGGGATTACAGCATGTACCACCATGCTCAGCTAATTCTGTATTTTTAGTAGAGACTGGGGTTTCTCCATGTTGGTCAGGCTGGTCTTGAACTCTCGACAAGAGGATGATCTGCCCACTTTGTACTCCCAAAATGCTGGGATTATAGGCATGAGCCACCACACCTGGCCCAACTTTGTGCTTAATAGTTCAACCCAGAAATAGCCAAATGTTTCTCAACCAGTGGAATAAACAAGTGCACTGTACTTTATTCACTAGTGGAATAGTATGTATCTAAAAAGGAATGATCTGGTATGTGCACCAGTGTGGAGGAATCTAGCAGATAGAATTTGAGTGAAAGCAGCCAGTCACAAAAGAGTACATAAGTAGACTGGATGGTTTCATTCATATGGCATACAAAAATAGGTAGAACTAATTTATGGTGATAGAGATTCTAATAGTTACCTTTGGTGGTGCTGGGGATATGCTGTTGACTGGGAGTGGGCACAAAGCTGCCTTCTGAGGCTCTGGACATATTCTATAGCTTGATCTAGGTGGATATACACGTGTAAAAACTTACTGCACTTTATACTTAAGATATGTGCATTGTACTACATAGAAGTTATTTCTAAATTAAAAAAAAGTGAGACCTGAAACAAAATGCACATCTATTTGCCAACTTTTTCTTGGTCTTTTTTTTTTTTTTTACTTGCGACGGAGTCTCACTGTGTTGCCTAGGCTGGAGTGCAGTGGCACAATCTCGGCTCACTGCAGCCTCCACCTCCCAGGGTCAAATGATCCTCCTACCTCAGGCAATAGCTAGGACCACAGGTGCACACCACCACACCTGGCTGATTGTTTGTATTTTTGGTAGAGATGGGGTTTCACCATGTTGCTCAGGCTGGTCTCAAACTCCTGAGCGCAAATGATCTGCCTGCTTGGTCTCTCCCAGAATGTTGGGTTTGAGCCACCGTACCTGGCTTATTTGCCAACTTTTTTTTTCCCACCATGTCCCACCCTCTTATTTGCCAACTTTTTGATGCAAGGTCAAGGCTTTTTCTTTGCGTATAGTGGATCTGTTAACTTATTTTTTTCATGATCCTAGTATAAACCACATCCTTAGTAAATTATATGCAATTTTTATGGTCTTTCTCTTTAAATGGAACGCTTGCTCAGCTATCTGAATTGGAATCTTTCTGAATTTTTAAAGGTACCCCATTCTCATTTTTTATTGTTACCTTATGTCTAATTTGGCAAGGTGATTTTTGCTTGTTTGTTTTAGCATCTTGCCTTTATTAAGTCTCTGAAAACTTTTTTTCTTTTTCTTTTTTTTTTTTTTGAGACGGAGTTTCCCTCTTGTTACCTGGAGTGCAATGGCGCGATCTCGGCTCACTGCAACCTCCGCTTCCCAGATTCAGACAATTCTCCTGCCCCAGCCTCCTGAGTCGCTGGGATTACAGACACGCGCCACCATGCCCAGCTAATTTTTTGTATTTTTAGTAGAGACGGGGTTTCACCATGTTGACCAGGATGGTCTCGATCTCTTGACCTCGTGATCCACCCGCCTCGGCCTCCCAAAGTGCTGGGATTACAGGCTTGAGCCACCGTGCCCGGCACTTTTTTTCTTTTTCAAAGACAGGGGTGTTCTGTTGTCCAGGCTAGAGTGCAGTGGTGTAATCATGGCTCACTGCAGCTTCTACCTGCCCAGCTTAAGCAGTCCTCCCACCTCAGCCTCCTGAGTAGCTGAGATCACAGGCTCACACTGCCACTCCCAGCTAACTTTTTTTGATTTTCTGTAGAGATGAGGTCTCACTATGTTGTCCAGGCTGGTCTCAAACTTCTGGGCTCAAGCAATCCTCTGGCCTCAGCCTCTCAAAGTGCTGGTGTTACAGGCATGAGCCACTGCACCCAGCCCTGAAAATATTAATATAATGTTATATAACATGTTGGTGTTAGTGTTTCCTTTCTAATTTTTTTTTTTTTTTTTTTATTGATACGAAGTCTCGCCTTGTTACCAGGCTGGAGTGCAATGGCGTGATCTCGGCTCACTGCAACCTTTGCCTCTGGGGTTCAAGTGATTCCTCTGCCTCAGCCTCCTGAGTAGCTGCGACTATGGGCGTGCACTACCATGCCTGGATAATTTTTTGTATTTTAGTAGAGATGGAGTTTCACTGTGTTGCCCAGTCGGGTCTCAAACTCCTGACCTCGTGATCCACCCGCCTTGGCCTCCCAAAGTGCTGGGGTTACAGGCGTGAGCCACCGCGCCCAGCTGATGTTTCCTTTCAATAAAACTTACTCATTAAATGTATAAACTAATCGGGCATGGTGGCTCACGCCTGTAATCCCAGCACTTTGGGAGGCCGAGATGGGTGGATCACCTGAGGTCAGGAGTTTGAGACCAGCCTGGCCAACATGCTAAAAATATAAAAATTAGCTGTGCATAATTATGGGTGCCTATATACACACACACACACACACACACACACACACACGTGTGTGTGTATATATACACACACACCACACATATGAGTGTATTTATACACACCATATATATGTATGCATAATATACATATAATATGTATACATAATACGCATATATATGTATATAAATATATATATGCACACACATTATATATATGTGTATATATATACACACCATATATATGTATATTATGCATACATATATATGGTGTGTGTGTATATAACCATATATGTGTGTGTGCATACATATATATGGTGTGTATGTATATATATATACATAGTGTGTGTATATATTTATATAATATATATGTGTGTATATATTTTATAACAATGTTATATATAATGTTGTAACTAAATATATTTATACATACTTAATTTAAACAGCCTAAAAACATTTAACAGAACAGTCTATTTTACCAGTTGGACTTCTTCATAAGGTTTATGTGACTAAAATAAGTTTGAAAAATTCTCATCTAGATGACTTCCGAGTTTGGCTTTGCAATTTTGTGATTCTAATAGTTTGTACATTTTTACAGTTTGAACAAAATTTAGTTATTAACTCCACTGGTTCCTGTGTCACTGCTGAGAGAAGACTGCCTCTCATAGTGTCCTAACTCTTACCTCCTTTTTGTTCATCCCAGCTACCCGCTGCTGAAACTCCCCTTGCCAGGAACAGGACCTGTGGAATTCACCACTCCTGTGAAGGATTACTCACCCCCGCCTGTGGACTCCGGCCATAAACAAGGAGAGCCTGCTGAGCAGCCTGAGTGGGTGGGTACTCAGCGTGTTCCTGAGCGAGAGTGTTGGGTGGAGATTGGCTGAGGCAGGGGTCTGCCAGTGAGAGTGAGGTTGGTCAGCTTCTGATTTGTGAATTCATGTACTTTAACAGCTTTATCAACACACCACATAGATACTTAGTTTGTACATTTTTGTCTTTTTTTTTGAGACAGAATTTTGCTCTTGTTGCCCAGGCTGGAGTGCAATGGTGTGATCTCGGCTCACTGTAACCTCTGCCTCCTGGGTTCAAGCGATTCTCCTGCTTCAGCCTCAGAGTAGCTGGTGCCCACCACCACACCCAGCTCCTGTAATCCCAGGTGCCCACCACCACACCCAGCTCCTGTAATCCCAGGTGCCCACCACCACACCCAGCTCCTGTAATCCCAGGTGCCCATCACCACACCCAGCTCCTGTAATCCCAGGTGCCCACCACCACACCCAGCTCCTGTAATCCCAGGTGCCCACCACCACACCCAGCTCCTGTAATCCCAGGTGCCCATCACCACACCCAGCTCCTGTAATCCCAGGTGCCCACCACCACACCCAGCTCCTGTAATCCCAGGTGCCCACCACCACAGCCAGCTCCTGTAATCCCAGGTACTCAGGAGACTGAGGCAGGAGAATTGCTTGAACCCAGTAGGCGGAGGTTGCAGTGAGCCGAGATCGCACCATTGCACTCCAGCCTGGGCAACAACAGCAAACTCCATCTTGGCTGGGCATGGTGGCTCACAGCTATAATCTCAGCACTTTGAGAGGCCGAGGCGGACAGATCACCTGAAGTCAGGAGTTCGAGATGAACCTGGCCAACATGGTGAAACTCCGTCTCTACTAAAAATACAAAAATTAGCTGGGCGACATGGTGAAACCCAGTCTCTGCTAAAAATACAAAAATTAGCATCATGCCGGCTTTGGCTTGATCTCTATTTTTATTTTTATTTTTTTGAGATGGGGTTTCACACTTGTTGCCCAGGCTGGAGTGCAATGGTGTGATCTCAGCTCACTGCAACCTCCACCTCTCGGGTTCAAGTGATTCTCCTGCCTCAGCCTCCCAAGTAGCTGAGATTACAGGCATGTGCTACCACACCCGGCTAATTTTGTATTTTTAGTAGAGACTGGGTCTCTCCATGTTGGTCAAGTGCCTGGGACTACAGATGCCTGCCACCATTCCCGGCTAATTTTTGTATTTTTAGTGGAGACAGAGTTTCACCATGTTGGCCAGGATGCTCTTGAACTCCTGACCTCAGGTGATCCGCCCACCTTGGCCTCCCAAAGTGCTGGTATTACAGGCGTGAGCCACTGCGCTCAGCTAGTTTATACATTTAATGAGTAACTTTTATTGAAAGCAAACACCAAATGATGCCAAAGCATGACTATTGTAGCAAAACTGAGATCTGTGCTTGTCCTAGCTTTGGCCAGCTGGGCCTGGGTTCACACATGCTGGATCAATATCAATATGTGGCAGTATCCTGGCAGACACACAGGCCATCTTATCCTTGCCCCTGGGCAGTCAGAACAACTGTGCACCTGAGAGTATTCTGACATAATAGAGTTCCAGCGCTGTCTAGTATTTGTATTGTGCACTTATTTTTTTTCGGGTCTTTCAGGTCCTAATTTTATCCTCACCATCCAAAAAGTGCAGGTTTTAAATCTCTTTTCCAGGTAAGGAAGCTGGGGCCCAGAATGATTAAGTGCCTCAGTTATTTATTTCTTTATTTTTAATTTTCTTATTTTAATCTCGCTCTGTTGCCCAGGCTGGAGTGCAGTAATGTGATCTTGGCTCACTGCAACCTCTGCCTTTCGGGTTCAAGTGATTCTTCTGTCTCAGCTTCCCAAGTAGCTGGGACTACAGGTGTGCGCCAGTGTGCGGCTAGTTTTGTATTTTTACTAGAGACACGGTTTCACTATGTTGGCCGGGCTGGTCTCGAACTCCTGACCTCAGGTGATCTGCCCACTTCGGCCTTCCAAAGTACTGGGATTACAGGCATGAGCCACCGTGCCCAGCCAGTTATTTAGTTTGGAACTCTAGGTCTCCAGACCCCAGCCCACTGCTCCTTCTGGACTATACTATTTTCAGTTGACTGTCTCTAGGCCAAACACTGATATAAGTGAGAAAAAAGTCTCCAGTTGAGGGGCTCAGTCATGGGACCTAATTCACACTGTACTCATTATTTTGGAGCTCACTGAAGCTTAACTAGCTCATCTCTATACCTTTTGCCTGCCAGGTATGGGCAGAGTGCCCTTCCTTCATGTGTTGTGCTCTGGTCCCTGGATTGGTGCTGGACTTGCTGAATCTATTGTTGAGGAAAATAAAAGCTCAGTGAATAGAGCTCTCCTCCCACCTTCTCTCTGACAGTCAGCATAGTCCCATTTCTTTTTTGGTTAATGTTGTAGTCCGATAACTTGTTATGAACTTGACTCAATGGCTGAAATAGAGGTATATCTGGTAAGATAGGTCTGTGCCACAGCTGTACATGGTGTCAGTGGGGAGTGCACAACCCTGGCTTCTTGGGGCTCTGCCTATGAAAGTCAAACGTGCATGGTATGATGCTGGCTGGAACCAGTTTTGTGGTGAAACCAGTTTTGTGGCTTTATGTCCCAGCTTGGCCATTAGCTCACTGGCTCACTATGGGACCTTCTTGGTTAAACCTTTTACCCTCATTAACCATTTTATTTTTATTTTTTTGAGATGGAGTCTTGCTTTGTTGCCCAGGCTGAAGTGCAGTGGCATGATCTCAGTTCACTGCAACGTCTGCCTCCTGAGTTCAAAGTGATTCTCCTGCCTCAGCCTCCTGAGTACCTGGGACTATAGGCATGTGCCACCATGCCTGGATAATTTTTGTGTTTTTAGTAGGGATGGGGTTTCACCATGTTGGCCAGGCTGATCTCAAACTCCTGACCTCAAGTGATCTGCCTGCCTCTGCTTCCCAAAGTGCTGGGATTATAGGCGTGAGCCACTGTGCCCAGCCTTCATTAAACTTTGTAATACAATTTTAGCACATAAGGGAGTGTTTGTATTTCCTGACTAGCAGAGTTCAGTTGGCCTGTTGGTGTGGAATAGATGTTTAATGATAAGGCTGTAAGGGGTGTTATGTGTTTATGAGCTCTTTGAATGATGGGATGATGATAGAAAGTGTTTGTGCGGAATAACTAGAGGGCTCTGGAATCAGAGGATTGTCCATTTTTTCTCTTTCTGATTGGAGCCCTTATCATGCCCTGCAGGATTGAGAAGGAGACTTGGGCCCAGGGCAGTCACCTGGTGTCACACAGGCTCAGTAGTGGTCAATTATCTCACCTCCGTTGACTGTCCTTGACAAAAATACAGGCCAACGATACTGAAGTGGGTGGTAAGGACTGATTTAGTTAGGAAGAACAGAATTCAACCCAAATCAGAGTAAGTGAAAAGGGAACTTTTTGTTCATATAACTTAGCCAGGTGCAGGGCCCACACAACGTAGTGTGGGCCTCAGAAGGAGTCCATCTCTTGACTTTGTCCTCTCTGGGTCAGCTCCACTCTTGTCTTCCCAACAGTGGCCCTAGCAGCTTCAGCCCCATGTTTTTGCATCATCCAATCCAGTGGAGGATGAGTGGGAACCCAGTTGGCTATGAATAGGGTTACCTGCCTGTCCCCTTCCCAAGCCCTGTGGCTACAGGCAGGTATTTTGTTGTTGTTACCACCTTGCTGAGAATGAGAGAGGATGGTTTCCAAAGGGAAAGTAGGGCTGGGTGCAGTGGTGCGTGCTTGTAATCCCAGTGCTGAGGTAGGAGGATCACTTGAGCCCTGGAGTTAAAGGCTGCAGCAAGCTATGATCATACCATTGCAGTCCAGCTGGGGCAACAGAGTGAGACCCTGTCTCTAAAAATATTAAAAATAAAAATAAAAAAAGGGAAAATAGGAGACTCGGGCAGTAGACCTCACATTGCAGGTGTCTGCCGCCTATACCAAGGAGCCAAAACTTACTTCCTTGCTCTACTCATTGCTCGTTTATTGCATGGGCGTGGTATGCCCAGCACGGTGACGTGGGGGATAGATAGAGTCTCACTGTCCTTGAGGAGATCCTGTACTGTTTGAGAAGAGAAGACAAAGATTTTCAAAGTTTAAAGTAAATATAATATATGTCAAAGAGACATAGGGGGGCAACTGAAAGAGCTCTTGGTGGTCAGTGCTAGAGCAATTTTTGCAACAAAATAAACCAGTATTGAATTATAACTCAAAATATAAAATAATTCTCTGTGAGTTTATCCTGAGCCCATATGCTTGAAGAAATATAAATAATATAAATAAATGAATGGACCATAGACAGATATCCTGGGCAAAAAAAATTCTAAGTAATGTATATAGATACTCCTTCCTCAAGAAGGTGAGACATAACTCTTCACTCCCTAAAGTATGGACTGTGCATGGTGACTTTCTTCCAAAGAGGAGAGTGTGGCTATGGGAAAAAGCACCTTTACAGTGGAGAAGCTTGACAGACACTTCCTTAGTAAGTGAATGGGGCTAAGCAGCAGCAATAAATCACATTGACTGAGTGTGCCCTTTTTTTTTTTGAGACGGAGTTTCACTCTTGTTACCCAGGCTGGAGTGCAATGGCGCGATCTCGGCTCACTGCAACCTCCGCCTCCCGGGTTCAGGCAATTCTCCTGCCTCAGCCTCCTGAGTAGCTGGGATTACAGGCATGCGCCACCATGCCCAGCTAATTTTTTGTAGTTTTAGTGGAGACGGGGTTTCACCATGTTGACCAGGATGGTCTCGATCTCTTGACCTCGTGATCCACCCGCCTCGGCCTCCCAAAGTGCTGGGATTACAGGCGTGAGCCACTGCGCCCGGCGAGTGTGCCCTTGATATGTGAGGAGGAGTACATTTTACTGCTGATCTTCCTCCTGCAGACTCATAACCCCAGTCTAACGATGAGTAAAACATCAGACAAATCCTAGTCGAGGGATACCCTCCAAAATGCCTGACCAGTACCCCTCAAAGCTGTCAAGATCATCAAAAGC